TTTTTTTTTTTTTTTTTTTTTTCCTGCTCATGGAGAATGTTTTCAGCCCTGGCTGGCAAAGACCTCGTTCTGAATACCATTGTTACTATTTAAAATAATAATAATAAAATAGAAGTCTTTCACAGACTTCAGTGTATTAAGGACTTGGCTAGATGTGGACTTGGCAGTGGTAAGGAATAAGCAATGCCCAAACGAGTGTATTTATACCTGAGTAACTAACCGTACCGAGCTGTCTTATACCCTTTAACTGCTTCCAAAGTGAGTAAACCAGACTTGGAGCAGAACATGGCTTTTTGGGGTTTCTGCCAAAAAGCTCTCGTTGGTGCTGAGTCTGCTGAGATGAAGGGAACAAATCTCCAAATCGCGCAGCACTTCATGCGTGCGATTATTTAAAATAGCCAGCGTTTAAAATAGACTTGTTTCTAGAGGTACAGCTGGTCGTGTCCGCGACTGAAGATGCTGGAAATCCTCAGAAGTTTTGAAAGTGAGGTTGAACGCTGAAGTTGAAGTAGGTTGCGTGTGGGCAGGGAAAGCTTTGCCAATTAATCTCCTCACACTGAAACGTAAAGTTTTCTTCTACCTCATGCCGTTCTCATTGCAGTGGGATCTGAAGGTGTAGGCTTGGCCACCTTTCACAGGCCATTCTTCCGCTGTTGCTGTGGTAGGAATATTCCCTTATTTTTTTGGAGCGTGTGGTAAAATAGAGCCGGAGGAGGAGCTGCAGAGGGAGATGAGATCCAAAGGCCGATTGTCACCAGGGGTGACAGCAGCTGGGTGCCAGGTCTCCTGGAATTAACTGTTAGGTCCAGAAAATGTGAAAGCAGAGATTTAGCCGAGCATCCCGCAGTTGAGGTGGGGGATTTGCCGTGTGAAAACGGCGCTGTGGAAGTTTATCTACAACCTTAATCGGATTAGAAGCCTTTATATGGCAGAGTGCACTGTTACAAACCTGGAGAGTTTATATAAGAAGGAGCATTGCTCATCGTCCACATCCTCGCTCTGACCGAGCCATGTGCAAAGGGAACGTGACGAAATGTGATTTATTTATTTATTTTTTAAAAAACATAATCCTGGGAGCGTTGGCAGCGTTTTAATGAGCAACTACATTTACTGGTGAAGGTGGTGAGAAACTTCTGAGGGATGCTCGCTCTTCTTCTTGTGGATGTTTTTCATCTTTCTACCCCACATTGCTTGCTTTCTTTTCTTTTTTTTTTTTTTTTTTTTTTTTTTTTCTCTATTTTTAATGCATATAGAGCGCCCGTTTGTATGATCCACGTTTAGGACGCCGTATCCTTCATCTGTGTAAGATTTCACATTTTTGAATTATGTAAACTATATATAGGAAATCATTGCTTTGTTCACTGCTAAACCGCAATCATTCCGAAGGCAGAATGCAGTTCTAGTTAAACAACTCACAATAATGTACCAGATTTCTAGACATTGCTTATGTTTGGAATATTTCTTGCTCCCCTCTGATTTTAGGGCTCGCATATCAAATAATGATGCCATAAAATGTGTGTGCCTTTGAATGCTAAATAAATAAAAATGCCCACATGTGATGTAAATAATAACAGGTGGGACAAAATATTTTTACTTTATGACCACACGTGCATACAGGAGTGTCGTGCCTTTCCGTCCCCTGTCCCGCTGGTGCCGTTTCAGTTATTTTAATTCATTGACAAGAGTTTTATCCATAGGTAGTCGCTTACATAAGAGGCTCTCCTGTTCTTAACTCCATGCAGCCTTGACTTTGATCTTCCTTTAAAACTATTCACACACCATTGTGGGGAAAATATGTTCAAGCTTGACTTGGGCTCTTACGTCCCATTTTCAGCAGCTTTTTTTCTCACTTTCATTGAAACAAGGGCTCTTAAGCAGCTAAATAATTTCAGGAAATGGGACTCCAGTTTCTAGGTCACTTAGGCATTTCCTAGGTAAAATAATGCATTCTCTAAGGCTTGTCATGGCTTTCTTATAATTATCTCTACTCAGTAAGAAACAGTGAGTCTCTTAGGTTTTTCCTTCCTTTCTTAAACTTGAATTATTTCTCTCTCCTGTAGTAGATCTCTTGCAATATGTTGTCCCTGCTGTGAAGAAGTATATAGCTGAAGATGTATCACCACTAATGAAGAAGCACAAGGCGACCCAAGAGCCATAGTGCCAAGCTCTGGAGGCTGTTAGAGGATCTGTTTACTCAGTGTGTCACCGTGCTACAAACTCGAATCTGCTGGAAGCACCGCCGGAAACGTTTCCTACCTGGTGATCTCTGCTTAGAGCCTCTTCTTCCGTGGGCTGCAAAGGGTTCAGTTGGTTGTGGTGTAAAGGAGGAAAGAAAAGCTTTTTGCTTGAGACTGTGGGGAACGTTTATGCCGTGTTGCTTTGGTTAGAGTTGGACACAGACGTGCTCTCGCCTGTTGTCGCTCTGGGTTCATGCTTAGGTTGTCACCTTGCTCCTGGTGACACATGTACACTGGGGTCTGCTCTGA